CATACTAAAAAGTCAAAGATTCTCTTTTCTCTTTACTTTTTGCACATCTTTTCGTAATTAGCCAAAAAGTCATCCCAAACATATAAGTTTTTTTTACCTACCTTTTTAGCCAAATCGCCAAAAAGTTACTAAATTAGCTTGTTCCCAAATGAGGCCTAAGTCACATTGTAACAAATTAAAAGCATAAGTTTAAATTGTTGAAATAAAAGATATAGAAACTAAAGTGATGCTTCATTTAAATTATAGGATTAATAAAATAATTTTTTTTATTTTTATTTTTATTTTTTAATTTTCTTGCTGGTGAAGTCTCCTTGTTTATATGTAACTAACCCTAGTTACTAGCATCACAGACCTCAGAAAAAGGGGATAAAAACCCTAGCCCTGATAAGTTTTTTTTGAAGAAAAGAATGGTAATCCTAGAAAGAGGCAGTAAGGAAAAGAACATCAAAGCAAAACTAGAGCCCAATCTACCAAACCTTCCTGAAGAAATCATTCTCAACATACTATCAAGATTACCCCTCAAATCTCTCATTCAATTCACTTGTGTTTCAAAGCAATGGGGTTCTTTGATTCAAGGTTTTGCGAAAAGCGTTCAACGAAAAAAGGTTTTTGTTTGTATTGACAATTCAATTAACTCCATCGACGAAGAAGGTCACGTGGAAAGCATTCTTGAACCAAAAGAAAAATTCCCACCTCATTTTAACCTTGAAATCTTTGGTTCATGTAATGGGTTGTTGCTTATACTGATTTCCGATGATTTGTTTTTATGGAATCCGCTCACTAGGTGCTCGGAGAAAGTCATGACATCCGTGCATCGCGGCTACTATGCTGTTTCCGGGCTTTGCTTTGACTCCTCAAATAATGAGTACAAAGTTGTAATGGCGATTATTCATGATAGCACAAATTATGGTGGTAAATTCGTGAAGATTGGTAGTTTTCGAAACAAAACTTGGACATCAGTCTATGAATTCCCTTACCATGTTTGTAGTATGATTTCGGGGCCTGTAGTGAATGGATATCTACACTGGTTTGTGTTTAAGGAAAGTTCGGATAACTTTCCATCCCACCAAATTATTTACTTTGATCCGCGGATAGATGAATTCAAGGAGGTACCAATGCCACAACCTAAGCATGTTGATGGATATACTATACTTGGTTTGGGAGATCTGAATGGATGCCTTTGTATGTCTCGCTTCAATCATTCTTCATGCAATTTTGTTGGCAATAAAGTTGAGGTATTGGTTATGAAGGAATATGGTATGGAAAGTTCTTGGATTGTTCTATTTAGCATAGAGTATTTGAGTGGAAAAATTTATGATTATTTTGTGCCATTGTGTTCTACAAAGAATGATGAAGTTATAATGAAAATTTTCACAGGGTTGAAGGGGTATATAAGGGCGTACAATCCTAATGACAATTCACATAGGGATATTCTAAATTTTACCCATCGTTGCTCTCTTGAAGCAATTATGTATGAGGAAAGTTTGGTTGTTCCGCCTGACTATAATTTTGAAAAGGAAGAAAGTGAAGGGAAAGAATAGGAACAGTCTGTTTGGTTTGTAAGTTGGATGAGAAATAAAATTTTCTTATTTTATAAGTCTCATTGGTGAGATTTAAAGGTAAACAACTTCATTGGACCTATAATTTCATAATACCAATGTATTATCCATTGAAGGAAGAAAAAAAATTCCTCATATCCTTTGTTTTCTAATGTGGTTTGGGATTTCAGAGTTGTGGTAAGCTAGGCATGTTAAAAAATTTAAATTCTGAAATTCATTTACTTTTGATGCGTTACACTTGTGTATTATGAAATTGTGTCTTGAATTTTTCCATAAAAATAAAATGATTAGTATAGAATTAAAGTTGGGCTTCCTCCCATGTGGGCTTCTGAATGGATCTCACAATTTGATACTCAAATGTACCAATCTAGTTGGTTGTTATTGCGGCAATTGAGTTTTTGTTGTAATTCTTATTTTCTTGAATTACCTCGTTTAATAATGGTTTTAATAACGGTAGAGTTTTTTATAGAAAATTTTCACTCAATTAGTTTAGGCTAAATCATTAAATTTGATCTAGTTTATAATTTCTCTTAAAAACATGACACATTAGTTCATGTACGCATTTGTTATCAATACAATATATAAGAGTTTTAGAAACCAAATATTTTGGTTTTTAAAAGTGAAAATTTAGGAACTAATTTCCATCGTTATGAGGATAGTCGCTAAGAGGTCGTTCCGAAAAGTAAAAAATAAGATATTTAGTGAGAAAATTTTTAAAATGTCATTAATAAATAAACTTTTAGAGACAAAATAATTTTGTCTTAAAATGGTTTATTTTTTGAGACAAAAAATTTGGTTCTAAAAGGATAATAATTCATCACTAATGTCCAATTTTTGTTACTAAAAATATAATGACGACACTTTTTACAACAAAATTATTTGGTTCCTAAAAAATAATTTTGTCTCTAAATTTTGATTTTTAAAACCTTTTTTTTTTTTTGTAGTGTATAAAAAAACATTAACAATTAGAATTAATTGCAATAAGTTAAGACAGTCAAAATATTTAAGATCAAAATCGATTCAATTAAAATTATAAGTATCAAAATGACACAATAATTAAAGTACAAGGGCTAATAGTGTAATTTGTCTTTTTTTTTTTCCGGTTATGTACGTAATTTTGTAAAAATTTATTTTCACTTTTATTTTTTTACGATTATTATTTTTATTTTCTTGCTGGTCAAGTTTCCTTGTTCACGGAATTTCCCTAGCCAATCTCTCTTTTGACTCTCTCTCACTCTCTCTGAATCGATTTTGATCCTAAATATTTTGACTTTGTCTTAACTTAGTGCAATTAATTTTAATTGTTAATGTTCTTTTATAGCAAATGCGTACATGAACTACATGTGTCATGTTTTTAAGAGAAATTATAAACTTGATCAAATTTAATGATTTAGCCTCAACTAATTCAGTGAAAATTTTCTACAAAAAACTCTACTGTTATTAAAAGAGGTAATTCAAGAAAATAAGAATTACAACAAAAAATCAATTGCCACAAAAACAACCAACTAGATTGGCACATTTGAGCATCAAATTATGAGATTCATTCAGAAGCCCACATGGAAGGAAGCCCAACTTTAATTCTACACTAATCATTTTATTTTTAAGGAAAAATTCAAGACACAATTTCATAATACATAAGTGTAACCCATCAAAAGTAAATGAATTTCAGAATTTAAATTTTTTAACATGCCTAGCTTACCACAAATCTGAAATCCCAAACCACATTAGAAAACAAAGGATATAAGGAATTTTTTTTCTTCCTTCAATGGATAATAGATTGGTATTATGAAATTATAGATCCAATGAAGTTGTTTACCATTAAATCTCACCAATGAAAGTTATAAAATAAGAAAATTTTATTTCTCATCCAACTTATAAACCAAACACACTCTTCCTATTCTTTCTCTTCTTTTTCTTCCGTTTCGAAATTATAGTCAGGCGGTACAACCAAACTTTCCTCATACATAATTGCTTCGAGAGAGCAACGATGGGTAAAATTTAGAATATCCCTACGTGAATTGTCATTAGGATTGCACGCCCTTATATACCCCTTCAACCCTGTGAAAATTTTCATTATAACTTCATCATTCTTTGTTGAACACAATGGCATAAAATAATCATAATTTTTTCCACACAAATACTCTATGCTAAATAGAACAATCCAAGAACTTTCCATACCATATTCCTTCATGACGAATACCTCAACTTTATTACCAACAAAATTGCATGAAGAATGATTGAAGCGAGACATACAAAGGCATCCATTCGGATCTCCCAAACCAAGTATAGAGTTTTGGCCGGTTCAGAGGGTATGTCCGGACCGGAACCCCGACCGGTCGACGGTTCAACCGGTCGAACTGGCCGGTCCGGTCTGGTTTTCAAAACCTTGTTCTCATTTGCAAAAACCTTTCACTTCACTCCATTGACAAAGAATGTCACGTGGAAACTCTTCATCAACAATGGGGAACAAAGAGATCTCTTTATAATTACATTAGATTATTCGGTTCGTGTAATGGGTTGTTGCTTATAAACATTTACGACGATTTGTTCTTGTGGAACTCGCTCACCAGGTGTTCGAAGAAAGTCCTCTCATACAACAGCTTGCGTAATGGTGACTATCGTGTTGTTTATAGGCTTTGCTACGACTCCTCCAGTAACGATTACATGGCTGTAATGGCGCTTGCTCACCAAACTCCATCTTACGGTGGTGAAATCGTAGTGGTTGGTAATTTCTAAAACAAATCTTGGACTAGGGTTCACTTCCCTTATTCTATTCATACATTGAAAAATTCAGGGACGGTCGTAATGAGCATCTACATTGGTTTGTGTCGGAGAAAGGTCGGGGTTTTTTTTTCATTTCTATGGTTCGCTCAGAGTATCTAACCAATTGTGCGAGCAATTTTGAGGTGATGGCAATGGAGGAATATGCACTACAAAATATTAAGGTTTTAGAGACAAAAATTTAGGGACAAAATTATTTTTTTAGGACCAAATATTTTTGTTGCGAAAGGTGTCATCATTATATTTTTAGCAACAAAAATTGGACATTAATGATGAATTATTATATCTTTGGAATCAAATTTTTTGTCTAAAAAAATAAATCATTTTGAGATTAAATTATTTTGTCCTTAAAAGTGTATTTATTAGTGACATTTTCAAAATTGTCGTTAAAAGTTTTATTTTTGACTTTTCGAGACTACTTTTTAGTGACTATCCTCGCAACGATAGAAATTGGTCCCTAAATGTCTTTTGCAATAAAATTTTCATTTTTAGAGACCAAATAATTTAGTCTTTAAAACTCTTATATGCTGTAGCGATGGTAAGTAGGAATCTTGGACTACTATGTTTGTCCTATCAAATTTACCCCAATTGAATGTTTTTGATGAATTAGTGCCATTTTGTTGTACAAAAAATGGTGAAGTGCTAATGAAAATTGGTAGATGTACAAGCATAAAATAATTCTTCTTATATAATCTTGTTGATCAAGTTTGCACTTCTCCAAACGTCGTAATGCAATCACCTGACAATACAAACGTGAGCTTGCTGGCGGGTGTGTTCCGAAAACCCCTCCTCTGCCTAAATCAGTAAGTAGACAATTGACAAAAAGCTCTGCATATTTGAGAGTAAGAATTGTAATACCTGGAAATAGGTGTAGTCATGAGCTTTTATAGATTCTGCATGGCACAATCCTAATAGGATTCTATCTCTCCTTAAAAGAGTTATCCTAGGAATCACATTCCTAAAGGATAATACTTATGCTTAGAACACTCTTCTCACTGTGAGCCAAGTGAGATGGAAAACACTCTGTTCGGCTGTCAATATCTGATTGAGCCATTTATTCCAGTCCTGTCTCTGGCAGAACTATGCCAACCCTGACCGCCCATGGTGTACTGTCGAGCTATAGTTAGCTCGGCCTTCTTCAATACTATGTCGGTCATCCGTGGACCGTACCAAGATAGCTAGGTCTAGGCCCCAGAAGCCTTTCTCTGGCTGGCCCAGACCTCGTTCTGCCTAACACCGTGATGTCTAAGCTCTTATCTCGGCCCAAAACACGGCCCAACCTCCACAGATAATTTGACCTAGCTCGGCCCAATTTGTTACACAAATTACCCTTTCAATTGCCCCTTAATTTCATCTGCGAAGTATGATTGGGATTACTTTCCTCTAGCTGAGCTAAAATGCTCAATTCAACCGAGTTAGAAAAGCTGTTCGGTTGTCACAGTTTGCTTGGTTCTAAGAAGTATTGTCAGTTACTCAGCATGTTCTCTCATCATTTTGACTTGTCTGACACGCCTGACACGCTTGGGACATATGGCATGCCTCCATTGTGCCCGTATCCTTACTACAGTCGTCATACACTGCCCAAATATTTGAACAGTTCCGCATTTCTGCTTCCGTCGTATACATAGCATATATGTATAACTTTTCATTTTTACTGTTCATCTTTTTCCACTGCAAACCTTAGAACCAAAGCACGAAACCTTTTGGATTTTTCTATTTTTAGCCTTAAATCGCAGCACCTTTATTGCAATTGTGAGCTTATAATCATACGAAAATGCTCTTCCACCAATTAAAATTTGATTTCACGCAAAAATAGTAAGTTCTTCGTGCCTTTCACAATTGTTTCGTGAATATCCACACGGTTCTTTACATTTCTAGGTATGTTCTTGATGTTAAACTGTTATCTACATCCATAAGTAGTGTCTTAATATTGAAATTTGCAAAAATATGCATGAAATGAGTTTAGCAATAAATTAGGACCTCGGAAAGCCTCTAAAGCCAAAAACTTTGGAATGAATGTCATATGACTGGGATGAAAACCAGTTAGAGGCAGTGGTTTTGATCCAAAATTGCACCCTAATCGAACTAAAAACTTGTTTGTGCATGTTCAAGTGAATATAACCGAGCCAAGAACCCAACAACTAAACTTGACCGGGCTAAAACCTTGCCCCTAGTCAGGATCAGACTAATTCCTTGCCCAT